CCCTTCCAGCCCAGAATAAGTGAGAGCCTGCAGCCCCTCTCCTGGTATGGAAAACATGTGCCTTCCTGTTCCCTAGCGTCTCTTGAGTGTTTGCAGCAAGGGGCAGGTGCTGTGGCTCACCTGGGCTTGTCCTTGGGGTCCACAGAGGTCATGGGAACCTTCCGAGAAAAAGCAAACAAGTGGGTGAGCCGGGCAGGCCAGGCCAGGTAGTGATGGGATGGCAGAGGAAACATCCTTCCCTCCCAGGGAGTCTCCCGGTGCCCCCAGCACCATACTCCCACAAATAAAGCAAATGTAGAAACTGAGGCTCAATTACAGATATGACCTGGTGTAAAGGCTTCAAGGGGACTGGGACTGACTAGGACAGGAGCTGAGGCACAAGACATATACATCATGCAAAAGTGCATATGTGATCCAACACGCGCATACACACACACACACACACACACACACACACACACACACACACTGGCCTCTTTGTGTGCCACACCCACTCCTGTGCGGGCACATCCAGACAGGAGGGCACAGGTCCCGGCTCCCCTCTCTCAGGCACACCCACACCTGTGCCCAATCACATGCTCTTGACCATGAAACCCACGCCTAAACACGTGTGTGACAGACGCACAGGATCTTGGAATTTCAACAGTCAGCCCTGGAGCTGTCATCTGAGGATAGGGGAGCTTGGGGACATGAATTTGTTATTATTAATTATTACCATTTTTTGAGACAAGGTCTCATGTAGCCCAGGCTGGCCTCCAATTCACTGTTAACCCCAAAATGACCTTGTATGTCCTGCTTCCACTTCCCAAGAACCACCAGGACTGGCTTTGTTTGTTTTCAGACAAGGTCTTGTGTAGCCCAGGCTGCCCTTAAACTCTTTAAAAAAATTTTTTTTAGGGCTGGAGAAATGGCTCAGTGGTTAAGAGCACTGGTTGCTCTTGCAGAGGACCTGGGTTCAGTTCCCAGCAACCACGTGGTGGCTAACAACTGTTCATAACTCCAATTCCAGGGAATCTGATGCCCTCTTTTGGCTTCACCTGGCATGCACACACATGTTGCACTTACATGCAGGCAAAATACTCATATACATAATAAAATAAATAAATACTTAACAATTTTTAAAAGATTTATTTTGGTTTAGTTAGGTGTGATGGTGCTCGCCTTTAATCCCAGCACTCTGGAGACATAGACATGTGGATTTCTGTGAGTTCAAGGCTAGTCTGGTCTACATTTGAATTCCAGGTCTGCCAGGACTACATGTGGAGATCCTATTTCAAAACAACAAAATAAAATAAATACATAAAACCTATGAAATATTCCCATAATATATGTATATGTAATTTGAGTGTGGTTCATAAACATGGGTATATGGGTGCATACACATGCTAAGCCAGAGGTGGATGTCACGTGTCTTCTCTATCACTCTCTGCCTTTTCCTTTAAGACAGGGTCCCTTGCTGAACGAGGTCACTATTTCAGCTCAGCTGGCTGGCCAGGGAGATCCCAAGATCCTCCAGGATCTGTCTTTGTCCTCTAATGCTGAGGTTCTAGGCACTCAAAACCATGTCTAGCTTTTCACATGGGTGCTGGGGATTTGAACTCAGATTCTCACGCTTGTACAACAAGTGATCTTACCCTACTGAGCCATCTCTTCAGCCCCTAAATTATGTAGCCCAGGTTATCTTTGAACTCATCACCTAGCTCACATTGGCCTTGTACTCAAAGCAATTCTCCTGCTTTAGCTTTCTGAGTATGTGGATTACATACAACCATGTCTGGTACTTGAAGGTACTTACATATTTTTTGTTGTATTTTGAGACAGGGTCTCCCTGTAACCCTGGATGGCCTGGAACATGCCATGTAGACCAAGCTGGCTTCAAAGTCACAGAGATTCTCCTGCCTCTGTTTCCCAAGTGCTGGGACTAAAAACCTGTGCCACCCTGCCTGATCCTTTTCCTCTTTCTTTCTTCCTTCCTTCCTTTCTTTCTTTCTTTCTTTTTCTTTCTTTCTTTGTATGTGTTTTATTTTTTTATTTTTATTTTTTTTGTCTTTTTGAAGCAGGGCCTCCCTGTAGCCCCAGCTGTCTTGGAACTCACTATGTAGACCAGGCTGGCCTTGAACTCACAGAGATTCACCTGCCTCTGCCTCCTAAGTGCTGGGACTACAGGTGTGCGCCACCACGCCTGACATGTGTTTTATTTTTAATTATGTGCATATGTGTGTGTCTGTGTATGGGTATATGCATTTGTCTGAAGGTTCCTTTGGCATTCTTTAGAAAAGGGCATCAAATCTCCTGGAGCTGAAATTACAGGCCATTGTTAGTTGCCATGTGAGTGCTGGGAACCAAATTGGGTCTTCTGCCAAGAGTAGCCAGTATTCTGAACTGCTGAGCCATCTTTCCAGGCCCCTCATTTTTAAAGAGTATCTTTTATTTATTCTTTGACAGTTTCATAAATGTATTCAATGTATTTTGATCATATCTCCTCAACCCCCCTCCCAAATGACCCTTCAATACTTCCTTCTCCCACCTTCATTATTCCCCCCCCTCCTGTTTTTTGGAACTCACTGAATTCAGTTAGTGCTATCTGATGGTATATTCACTGATCCTTTTAATTTGATTCTATTTGGTCTTGTGCAGGTGACCACAGCTGCTGTGAGTTCAAGGGAGTAATAGTCATGTCATGTCCAGAAGACAGCACTTCAGAGCTCTTCTCCCATCCTCCAGCTCTTACATTCTTTCTGCCCCATCTTCCAAGATGCTCCATGAACCTTGGTGTATATGTTTTAGATGTCCCATTTAGGGCTCAGCACTGAACAGTCATTTATTCTCAGCATTTCCACCAGCTATGAGTGTCTGCATTAACTGCTGGGGTTTTTTTTGTTTTGTTTTTGTTGCTTTGTGTGTGTGTGTGTGTGTGTGTGTGTGTGTGTGTGTTTTGAGACAGGGTCACCCTGTAGCCCCAGCTGGCCTTGATCACACAGAGATCCACCTGTTTTTGCCTCCCAAGTGCTGGAATTAAAGGTGTGTGCCACCACACCTAGCTTTGTTTCAAAGATTTATGATTTGCAGTTGGTTGAAACCAGGGACACTGAATCTTCAGACACAAACAGCAACTCTTGGGTGCACAAAATATACATTTAGGTCAGGTGTGGTGGTGCATGGCTTTAATTCCAGGCTTTGGGAGGCAGAAGCAGGTGGATCTCTGTGAGATCAAGGCCAGCCTGGTCTACATTGTGAGTTCCTGGCCAGTTTGGGCTACAGGGAAAGATATATGTGTATGTATGTATATATATGAATGAAACCATTCCTCACACACAGAGCCACATGCATACAACCATACCCACATACTCATATACAAACGCACTTAGACCACTATATCCTTGCCTACCCCCAATTGGAGCCCTCCCTTAACAAACAGTGCAAATACCAAAAATATGCATGAAGACATTTGCAAAAATTCTGAGGAACAACCATAAAACTACTTTCACAAAGACATTCTCCCACCTAAATACACCCACTCACTAATCTCTCCCACACTCATGCCTTGACAAAATCAACAATTACACTCTTATATGCTAGATAAACATGATTAATGTGCACAAACACACCCTCATACCCACCCAGAAAACACACACACACACACACACACACACACACACACACATTCACCACTTTTACACATTTCACCACTTTCAGTCTCAGAATCCAGAAACCTATATAATACAAATCTTTGATTATTTCATTCATTCATTCATTCATTCATTCATTCATTCATTCATTCATTCCTTTATTATTCACTGAGACAGGATGTCTTGTAGGTCAGGCTAGCTTTGAACTCAGGAAAATCCTCTTTTGTCCATCCCCCAAGGACTTGAATTATAGGCACATGTCACCACACCCAGGTTATTCAGTACTGAGGATGGAACCCAGGACTTTGTACATGCTAGGCAAAAACTCTACCAACTGAGCTGCAGTCTCAGCTGCATAACACAAACGTTTGTACATGCAACATGTGTGAAACAGACACTCATGTCACATGGCCAGATACACATTGGCATTGTATACACATACATGTAGGCAAAACACTCAAACTTATAAAATAAAAATAAATAAATAAAATTTAAATAGCGTACCTTCTGGGTGTGGTGGCACATGCCTTTAATCAACAGTCAGGAGGCAGAGGCAGGCAGGTTTCTGTGAGTTCAAGGCCCTTCTGGTCTACATAGTGAGACCCTTTTTTTTTGTTTTAATGTGTATGAGTGTATTGCCTGCATGTATGTGAGTGCACCCGTGTCGTGCAATGCCACGGAGGTCAGAAGAGGGCTTCAGATTCCCCTGGAACTGGAGTTAAGGACGGTTCATAGCCGCCATGTGAGTGCTGGGAATCGAACACGGGTCCTCTGCAAGAGCAGTTAGTGCTCTTAACCCCTGAGCCATCTCTCCAGCCCCAATCTTTAAAAGCAAAAAACAAAAACCAAAAAAACCCAAGTTGTACAGTTTTAAAATTAAAGTTTTTCTTTAATTAAAAAAAAATGACGTGTGCGTAAGGGGGTGGGGGGTAGTATGTGTGGATATCAGCGGACAATTGGGTACCAGGGAATCAAACTCAGGTCTTCAGCATTGGCGGCAAGCTCCTTTGCCCACTGAATCATCTCTCCTAAACCAATCCAGGGTCCAGGAACGCTCACGGTCACACAGACACACACACAGACACACACACACGCATGGGCGTTCCTCAGCATCCCTTCCCTCTTCGGCCATCATTGTAACCCAGCCCTGGGCATCCTTGCAACTGGAGGAACTGTAGAGGAATAGGGACCTGTGGGAACTCATGAGGATCTATGGGGACCGGTGAGGACTGAGGCCACTCTGGGGAGGCGGAGCGCACCTGGGCTCCGCCCCGGGGCGGAGCCGACGCAGCGTCGCCAGCGCGATCGGCCGCACCTGGTTTAGCAGCAGCGGGAGCAGCAGCAGCAGCAGCCGCCTGCCGCCGCCGCAGCAGCAAGAGCAGCAGCAGCTGCTGCAGCAGCAGGAGGTGACGGTGGAGGCGGCGGCAGCAGCCCAGCCCATCCCGAGCGCGCAGACCCCGGGCTGGCCGCAGCCCCGGCGTGGCCATGGTGGAGGCGGCGCCCGCAGGGCCCGGGCCACTGCGGAGGACTTTCCTGGTCCCCGAGATCAAGTCATTGGACCAGTACGATTTTTCTCGGGCCAAGGCGGCGGCGAGCCTGGCATGGGTGTTGCGGGCCGCATTCGGGGGAGCAGGTAACCTGGGGGTGGGATGGGGAGCCCTATGGGGGAGAGGGCAGAAGCGACAGGCCGGGCGCGGCAGGTGCGGGGGGCGGGGCGCCGGGCCCGGGCCGTGGGAACAATAGCTTGGGGCCGCCGGGGGTCCCCCTAGCTCTGGGTCCCTGCTGAGCTGGGCCTCTGAGCTTCCTGCTCGGCCCGGGGCCCTCGGACTTTGCCCGCCCGGCTTGCCCAAGTGCAGTGGGGGTGGGGCCGGCCAAGCAGCTGTGCTGTGTATTGGGGAGACTAGGGACCCCGAGATATGAGCTCCTAGGTGAGCAGGAGCAAGTTTGAGGGTCAGTTTGGGGTGTGTGTGGGGGAAGGGTCTCCTAGTATGGTCCTCTGCTTCCAGCCCCCACTCCCCACACCCACCCCAGGGCCTGCCTTTGCTCTTCCAATTTCACTTTTACACATATCATGTGCCTGTGAGGATTCCCCCTGCCCCACCTCAATGCCCCCCCCCCAACACGGTAACTTGGACTCCCCCAAGGATCCACAGCTCTGCGACGGGGACACACACCGGAATTGGCTCTGAATGCATTGCGGGCTTCCAGGGTGAGGGGCTCTCTATCACCCCCCCCCCTTTTCGTTTCGATGGCCTCTACCAGAGGCTGGCAGCTGTGACTTATTGCCCCATTTTTTCGAGGAGGCAGGTGGGCATACATGGCTTATCCAAGAGCGCCCTAGGGTGGGAGCTCCAGCTGCCAGGCCTTCTTTCATTAAGGTCTACTCTTCCCTGTAGTGCCTTCCACACGCCCAACAGGCCAGAATGGACTAGGGCCATCCCTTCCGCGGAGAAAGAGGGTGGGTCTCCAGGATGAGAGGGTCTGGATAGGCTCTCCAAGTCCTGCGTTTGGGGCAGCTTCAGACATCCCAGGGCTGAGCTGGGAAGCAGAGCTGGCCCTTGGGGAAGACAGGGGTTAATTAAGGTCTAGGCCTTCCTGGGAGCAGTATGTGTGTGTGTGTGTGTGTGGATCCCTGTCCTCCCTCCTGTTGTGCTTACCAACTGGGCATGGCCCTTACCCCCACCCCACTCTGTTACCTTCCTAAACCAACCTGTTTGGGGTGTGGGTCTCCTGTGACAGCTGTCAGTCACTAGTGTCTGCCCAAGCCTGTCTTTTCCACTCTCTGTTTTTCTTTCTCCACCCTTCCCTGTATGACCAGCTCCAACACCTGCCCAATCCCAGGGATTTTCTACAAAAAAGAGTTGTGAGTTGGGACCCATGACTCTCCAATGCTGAGATTATGAGATTGGAGAGCACAACTTTATATAGATGTGAAATTATTATGGTGTGTAAGTGTAGGTGCATTCCACAATGTGCATGTGGAGGTCAGAGGACAACACTGTAGAGTCAGTTTTCTTCTACCCCTATTTATGGGTTCCAGGGATTGAACTCAGGTCACCAGGCATTTGCAGAAAGCACCTCTACCCAATGAGCCATCTTGCTGGCCCCAGAGCCCAACTTTGTTAAGTCTTGAGTTTGAGTCCCAGCCCCTCTACAATGTGGAGAATTATCTAGATTTGCTAGGTGTGGTGGCACACATCTTTAGTCCCAGAGGCAGGTGGATCTCTGTGAGTTCAAGGTCAGCTGGGGCTGCATAGTGAGACTCAAAAAACCTAACCAAACCAAACCAAATCAAACAAAAAAGAGCTATCCAGATTCTCTGAGCTTCTGTTTCCTTTTCTATAAAAGAAGGTGTTTTTCTACTTATATATCCATGTTTGAAAACACATAGAGTGTGTTCAGGTATGGTAGCATGTGGTGGACTAAGATTCCAGTACTTAAAAAAAATTACATTTACTTATTTGTGTGTGTGGGCACATGTGGAAGTCAGATTGGTCCTCTCTTTCTACCCTGTGGGTCATGGGGATCAAACTCAGATTGTCAGGTTTGGTGCCAAACTCCTTTACCTGCTGAGCCATCTCATTGTCCCCAGAACCTAGCACTTTTGGAGCTAGGTTGGTGGGAGGTGACTGTAGAATTTTGTGTAGCACACAACACATGCTAAATGGATGCTCACTGTGGCTTCTTGCTGTGATTGGTAAGGATATTTTTATTAATATCACTCATTGTCTCTTAGTCAGAGGATAGAGCAGAAATGACTATAAGACAGGAAAGCCCAATGAGGGGGGACCTTACACTCTGACTAACTCAGTTCTGTACCTATTGATCCAGTTGCTACTGTGTAACACTGTCCAGAGGCTGCCAGTACCTCAGGATTAAATTCAGTCTATCTCCTATAGTCTCCCCCAAATGAAGGGAAGGGGGGACTGGAGAAAATGAGGAGCAAAACTAGGCTAGATTTATTTATTTTGTTTTAATTAATTAATTAGTTAATTAATTTGAGATAGGGTCTCACTATGTAGCCCTGGCTGGCCTGGAACTTGCTAGGTAGACCAAGCTGTTCTCAAACTCAGAGAGATCTGTTTGAGAGATCTACTTGCCTCAGCCTCCTGAGTGCTGAGATTAAAGGCATGCCCAGAACTATGCTAGACTTACGAATTTTTAAAAAATTATATGTAAGCCTGGCATGGTAGCGCACACTTGTATCCCAGCACTTGGGAGGTAGAGGCAGACGGATCTTTAGGAGATCAAGGCCAGCCTGATCTATATCGTGAGTTCCAGGAAAGCTAGGGCTACAGGGAGACCCCGTGTCAAAACAAACAAAAAATATTTATTTATTGTGTTTGTGTGCACAAAAGAGTGCATGTGCATGTCACAGGGCCTATGTAGAGGTCAGAGGACAACTTGTGGGAATTGATTCTCTCTCCACCATGTAATTCCCAGGGATTGAACTCAGGCTGTCAGGCTTGGTGTTAAGTGCCTTTACTGGCTGAGCCATCTCTCTTTCCCTGAACTTAAAAAAAAAAAAATTATTATTTTATGGATGAGTGTATTGCCTGCATGTGTGTCAGTACACCCATGTTGTGCAATGCTCTCGGAGATCAGAAGAGGCTGTTGAATTCCCCCGGAACTGGAGTTAAAAAGGTTGTTAGCCACTTTATGGATGCTGGGAATTGAACCTGGGTCCTCTGCAAGAGCAGCTAGTGCTTTTAACCACTATGAGCCAGCTCTCCAGCCCCAACTTTTTTTTTAATTACTCATGCTAGGGATGGAGCCTAGGGCCTTCTGCTTACTGACCACCGAGCTACACCCCCAGCCTCTCACTGGGGGATTCTAGGCAGGGGCTCTGTCACCAAACTATGTCCCCAGCCCTTCACTGGGGGATTCTAGGCCGGGGTTCTACCCTTGAGATGCACACCCAGTCGCTCACTGGGGGACTCAAAAAAGTGCTTTACCACTCTCTTTTTGCTCTTTTTACCAACCCTCTTTTTACTTTTTATTTTAAGGCAGGGTCTCACTAAGTTGCCTGGGCTGCTCTGGCACTCACTCTGTTGCTCAGGCAGGCTTTGAATTTTCTGGTTTTGGGTTTTTTTAAATTTATTTATTATTTTTATTTTATGTGTTTGCGTGTATTGCCTGCATGTAGGTAAGTGCACCCATGTTGTGCAATGGCACGTGGAGGACAGAGGAGACTGTTGGATCCCCTGAGACTGGAGTTAAGGACAGTTGTTAGCTGCCATGTGGGTGCTGGGATTCGAACCCAGGTCTTCTGCAAGAACAACTAGTGTTCTTAACCACTGAGCCATCTCTCCAGCCCCCAGAATTTTCTGTTTAAAAAAAACAAAAAAGAAAGAAAAAAACCTTCCTGTGTGTGGGATTGTGCGAGCAAAAGTAGGCATGTGGAGATTAGAGGGCAACTCTCAGGAGTTGCTCCTTTCCTTCCACCTTTACATGGGTTCTGAAGATAAAACTCAGGTCACCAGGCTTGCATGGTAAGTGCCTTTCCCTACTGAGCCACTCTACTAGACCCTAGCTTTGAACTTTTGATCTTCCTGCTTCAGCCTCCCAATTAGCTGGGGTGGTAGGCTTGTGCCACCAGGCCCTGCAAACTTGGGACTCTACTGGGCTCTTAGGATGTAACAGAGATAATGGAAGGGATTACGGGAGAGGTGGGATGGGCATCAGACTAGATCATGGTTGCAGACAGTGATAAGAACTCCTGTGGTTCAGGCAGCAGGCCTTGGGGAGAAAATTCCTAACATCTTTCAGAGAAGGGAAAGATCCTCCAAGATGGAGAATTTGAGTCCTGAGATGCCAGGAGGAGGAGTCTGTATGCAAATGAATTTTCAGAGCCTAATTGGGAGCTCCCAATGGGGGCTGGGGGTAGATTAGAGATGAGGCATGCTTGGAGCCTTCCAGAAGTGCGGCACCTCAGATCATGAAGACCTGGAAGCAGTAGAGAGCCATAGAAGTTGTCTGAGGACTGACCGAAGATCAGATTGGCGGTGAAACTGAGGCCTAGAAAGGGGTTAGTTCTGGGGGCCCCTATGGCATGGCTGTGAGGTATGCATGCTGGTGCGCCTAGAGGAGACACCTCAGAGATAAGATAAAAAAAGCTTCTATAGAAGTTTGAGAAATGCCAAACACCTTAGGTCTTTAGAATATCAGAGGGATATGTGGGAGAAACTGGGTTTACTGGCTGTGTGCTCTTGGACTAGTTAGCTCTCTGAGCCTTGTTTTTTCCATCTGTGTAATGGTGGTAGAATAAGTGTCTTAAAGGCTAGGAATGTAGTTCAGTGGTTGAAAACACTCTTAGCATGCACACAGGCCTTAGGTTTCAGTCCCCAGGATAGCAACAAAACAACAAAATGTGTTTTAGGGTTAAACACACAGAAGATCCAAGAACAACTGAGAACTGTTAGAGGTTATAGGGGTGTTGTCTCCAGGAGGGTCAGGAGCCCCTCCCCAAAGACAAGCTATTGAGGAAGTTTGACTCCTATGAATCCAGATATTTGGAAAAATATAAATACACTGGAGCTAAACATCATGACACATACCTGTCATCCCAACACTCAGGAGGCAGAGGTAGAAGAACCATGGGTTTGGGGCCAGCCTGGGCTCCACATTGAAGCC